GGAGGAGGTCATGTGAAGAGGAGATGAAAGCGTGTGGGCAGACTTGGATTCAAGTGAAGACTCTAGCAGAGAACCGAACGCAGTGGAGACACACGGCTGAAGCCCTATGTTCCTCTAGGAATTAAAGGAAACAATAATAATAATAACCCCTAATGGATTCATGTGTACATACCACTGAAGAGCCACAAGCAAGGATGAAAAGGCCATCCATTAGTGCACTTTTATTGTATAATCCATACACATAGAAGTGGACTAGGTGGTAAAATCATCTTCAGAAATAACCGACTAAGTTAAAGGTTACTAAGTGATACGGCGCTGGAAGGCAATGAGAGCCTAGAAACATGCAACTACATGGATACCGTCCACTTGAGCTAGAAATCTTCTCCATCATTTCTTAATCTGAAAATTATTCAGTGATAAGAAATTTCAAATGAAATTAATTAACTGATTAAAGATGCTCAGTTTGGGAACCTTGGGAAACCTAGGAGTATTGAACAGCTGACTGATGGACGGTGGCTAGCAGTGGAATCCAGGATAACGCACATTTCGTCCTCTGCTTGGGTGTTTTGTTATCTAGATGTACCCGCACACCTCAGGTACACTCCTGCGCATTCTAGATTCCACTGGCAGTCACCATCCACCGATTAACTTCTAATTACATCCCTATACATCGTCGCAGCATCTGCACAAGATGCCGACATGTCACTCTGAGACCAAGCAAGCACTTCTCGTCAGATCAATCAACAGGGATATCTAAAATTAAATTAATTACTGAACAGCTGTTTCGTCCTAGCTTGGAACTCTTTAACAGTAAGCACCCACTGAGGTTTGAATTCAGGAACTTTCATTTACAAGACCATTCAGTCAATGGAACCCATTAGTTCCAACTCCCACCGGTTCGCAATATATACGGCACAGTCACCAGCCAATGTCATAGGAGAGTGGCGGTTCTTGGTAGACTTGGTGGACTCTACCTACTGGTTATGACTTCTCCGGGTTTCCAATAGTTGTCTAGCTAATATCAGCTTACGATCAAACCTGTAGCTGCAGAACCTAGCGATGAAGTTCGTAAAAAACTTTATTCTCTGCTCAATAATCAGTCTTTTGAAATGAATTAACTCAATGGTGAGAATACTGAATTTTTCAAGTGGTCGGAATTTCAAAAAACACAACTTAGACTGATGGTAAAATAACACTTCCCCTCAGAAGCCTTCTTATAATAATAAAACAATAATTCAGGAAGATCAA